GTCTGTGTGACTCTTATCTCCAATTAACCACCAGAAAACTGGAAGTGGCGCTGTGGCTCAAGTGGTAGAGCACTCGCCTTGAGCTGAAGAGCACAGGGACAGGCCCAAGCCCAGAGTTCAAGCCCAATGACCGACCAAAAAAAAAAAAAAAAAGATTTATAGGGAGGTTTAGAAGATGAAACTATAAAAATCTGGCCGTGGTAATCTGGGGTAGGGTTAGGTAGGAGGGTATTAATTACAAAGTGGTATAAGGAAACTTTTTAACAAAATATTTTCTACTACAGTGATTGTTTACATTCATGTATACAAACTAAATACTTAAAAATAGATGTATTTTGCCTGGTGCCCATGGCTCATGTCTATAATCCTAGATACACAGGAGGGAAAGGTTCTGAGGATAGTGATTCGAAGCCATCCCTAGCAGAAAAGCCTATGAGAGTCTTATCTCCAGTTAAACACCAAAAAAAACAAAAGTGACACTGTGGCTCAAGTGTTAGAGCACAAACCTTGAGCAAAAGAGCTCAAGGACAACACCCAGTCCTTGAGTTCAAGCCCCAGGACTGGCACACACACAATAAAAGGGTGTATTTAGTTGCACATAAATTATACTTCAAAAAATTGATTTTTAAAGACAGTATATTTATAGACTAAACCTGAAGGTGCTATAATTTGGATTTTGAATGTCCCAAAGGCCCATGTATTGAAGTGTAAATCCCAACTTACAGTGTTGTTGGGAGGCTAGTCACTTGGGAGGGGGGGCAATTATTCAAAGGGATATCTGGACCCTAGCCCACCCCCAACTTCTTTCTCTCTCTGCTTCTAAGCCACCATGAGGTGAACAGTGTCCTCTACTGCATGTGATCCCAACTTACAGTGTTGTTGGGAGGCTAGTCACTTGGGAGGGGGGGCAATTAGTCAAAGGGATATCTGGACCCTAGCCCACCCCCAACTTCTTTCTCTCTCTGCTTCTAAGCCACCATGAGGTGAACAGTGTCCTCTACTGCATGTGACTATGCAGCCAAAGATCCAAAGCAGCAAGGCCAAACATGAACCCCCCCACCCCCGAAAAGACCTTATTAAGACTTTATTAAGTTGTCCTCAGGTATTTTGTCAGTGACAAAAAACTAACTTTAAGAAATAGTACATACATACTCAACCTGCTTGCTCTTAATGATGCACTGCTTTTTTTCTTAAAATCAGCTTTATGGTCAAAGGAAATTCAAAAATATTATATAACTAATTTTTATGTCTTTCCGTAATATTCATAATTATTTGTAATATCACACAGGGAAGGTTTATTGCATTTTCCATCTCAATTTCCTAAACCAGTTTCATATTGTACCAGTACTCCATTATGCGTCTTACTTTCCACATCAGCCTATGATAAAACTAACTCATGGGATGGCATATTGATTATTAGAACAGTGCTCACAAAATTAATGCATATGCTTTTGAAATGCTTAATATCTGTGCTGTCCAATGTGGTCAAGCTCAACTATAGAACATAATTCTTGGCCAGGTGCTGGTGGCTCAACGCCTATAATCCCAGCTACTCAAGAAGCTGAGATATGGGGCTGGGAAGGTGGCTCAGTGGTAGAGAGCTTGCCTTGCATGCCTGAGGCCCTGGGTTTGATTCCTCAGCACCACATAAGCAAAAAAGAAAAAAGCCAGAAGTGGCGCTGTGGCTCAAGTGGTAGAGCGCTAGCCTTGAGCTGAAGAAGTGAAGGACAGCGCCCAGGCCCAGAGTTCAGGCCCCACAACTGGACCCCCACACCCCCCCCCAAAAAAAAGAAGCTGAGATCTGAGGATAGCAGTTCAAAGCCAGCCCTGGCAGGAAAGTCCATGAAACTCATCTCCAGTTAACCACTAGAAAACCTGAAATGGAGCTGTGGCTCAAGTGATAGAGCATTGGCCTTATGCAAGCAGCTCAGGGAAAGAACCCTGGCCCTGAGTTCAAGCTCCATGACTGACAAATCCCAACATAATTCTTAAGAGACACCATAAGGAAATATATTGATATTTATTCTACTTTAAAACAATCTTAAATCTACTTTAGAAATCTTTCAGCAAAACGAAGATGCTTTTTCATGTGAATAAATACATGGTACAGACATGTATTCACTAGGTATTAATGTTGAGTGTAGTTGCCTATCAAATTAGATAAGTGGTCTGATTAATATCAACACTTAAGAAAAATTCAACTAAGCCGGGCGCTGGTGGCTCACGCCTGTAATCCTAGCTACTCAGGAGGCTGAGATCTGAGGATTGCGGTTCAAAGCCAGCCCGGGCAGGAAAGACCTTGAGACTCCTATCTCCAATAAACCACCAGAAAACCGGAAGTGGCACTATAGCTCAAGTGGTAGAGCACTCGCCTTGAGCTGAAGAGCCGAGAGACAACACTCAGGCCCAGAGTTCAAGCCCCACAACCGACAAAAAAAAAAAAAAAAGAAAGAAAAATTCAACTAATACCAATTAAACTAATTACAAAATATCTTCCCAGGAAGTTAAAGACCTTCACGATTTAGTTATACAGTCAGTCCTTAAATGTAAAGTACTTGAGTTAGAAGAGCCCTAAGACATAAACAGACTAAAGTATTAGCAGTCTTCTCTTCCTCTGTCACTGCTCCTATTTCAGGAGATTGTGACACAGAGCTGTGTTACTACTGCTGCCAGCACTGCATGGGAACAGGAAGGAAAGGATCCGTTTCCAGTCTGAAGTTTCAACTTGGAATGCATTTTCCAATAGAGTGTTAATAAAGTACCATAGGAGCTATAATACAGATCAAATATACTGTTGATGTTTTTGTTTTTTTTTAACTGGTATAAGAATGTCACCAGGGCTGGGAAGGTGGCTCAGTGGTAGAGTGCTTGCCTTGCATGCCAGAGGCCCTGGGTTCGATTCCTCAGCACCACAAGAAAAAAGCTGGAAGTGGCACTGTGGCTCAAGTGGTAGAGCGCTAGCCTTGAGCTGAAGAGCTGAGGGACAGTGCCCAGGCCCAGAGTTCAGGTCCCATGACCGGACCCGAAAAAAAAAAAAAAAAAGAATGTCACCATAAGATCAAGCATAGCAGTACGCCCCTATATCTGAGCACTTGGGAGACTGAGGCAGGTGAGAAAATGCCTCTATGGAAATCCGTATGGAGGTTTCTCAAGAAATTATCAACAGAAGTAACATTTGATCCTGCTATGCCACTCCTAGACATGTATCTGAAGGAGTTTAAGCATATAATAGAGATACCTGCATACTTATGTTTATAGCAGCACTATTCACAATAGCCACACTGCAGAATCAGCCTTGCTATCCCTTAATCAATGAAAGGATGGAAGAAAATATGGAGATATATATCCATATAGATGTATAATGTGCATGTATATAATACAGATTATATACACCGCATATATATACATGAATATACAATGGAATATTATTGAGCCATACGTGAAATGTTATTTTCAGAAAAAAGATGGAAATGGAAATCATCATGTTGAATGAAATAAGCTGGACTGAGGAAGACACATATCACATCTCTCTGATATTCAGAATCTAGACCAAAACAAAACAAAACAAAAAAAGGTCAAGTGCCAGTGATTCAAGCCTGTAAGACTGGGAGACCCCAGTCTCTTAACCAACAAAAAGCCAGAAGTGGAGCTGTGATACAAGTATAAAATAAGAACTATTTGAGGGAGGGAATCAGAGGGAAGAAAGAGGAGAAGGGGAGGGTGGAAGGGGTGAATATGATTGAAATATTTCATAACCAACCATTAAAATAAAAAATTTCAAATCTATAGAAAAGAATTTCACCATTACAATTTATTTGAGGAATCTTGAATCTTTAAACACATCAAGCAGATTTAGAGTTTGAAGGGCAGAGTCTTCTGCCTCCTAAAGGAAAAGCATACAACTTTAGCAGTATAGAATTCTGAAGTGGAAATTTATTGAGACCTTCAACACCTCTTCATAAAGTATAACCTCAAAAACTGTTTAGCTGTGAATGAAAAGTAAACCTATTGTGGGAGTGTGGTATTTCCTATGCAACTTGTAGAAAGGAATGCATAAGGATTTTCTGCAAGAACTGACATAGACAGTTGAGTAGGTTTGAGATTTGGGAGCACTGGGTTGTGTTGATAATATAGCTACTATTAGTAGAAATATAGACAAAAATACCATTGTGATAATAGTCTGGACATTGTTTGATTTTTATCTACCTAATCCTAATGGTCAGTTGCTCACAGGAAAGTAAAAAGCTCCAAGGTCATAAAAAAAAATATCCCGAGGGCTTGAGTAGTAGAGTATTTGTCTAATAATGGCAAGGCCCTGGGTTTGATTCCTAGCACTGTCAAAATACACACACACACACACACACACACACAAATATGTCCATAACTGGTAATTTTTTTTTTGTCAGTCATGGAGCTCAAGGCTAACACTCTACCACTTGAGCCACAGCACCACTTTCAGTTTTTTGTGAGTGGCTTATTGGAGATAAGAGTCTCACAGACTTTCCTGCCCTGGCTGGCTTTGAACCACGATCCTCAGATCTCAGCCTCCTGAGTTGCTAGGATTATAGGCATGAGCCACTGGCGCCTGGCTAGGGATAGAATTCTTTTGAAGGAAAAAAAATGATAAAAAAAAATGTATCAGTTATGGAGCTGGGTGCTGGTGGCTCATGCCTGTTATCCTAGCTACTCAGGTGGCTGAGATCTGAGGATCGCCATTCAAAACCAGCCCGGGCAGGAAAGGCTGTGAGACTCTTATCTCCAATAAAACTGTGGCTCAAGTGGTAGAGTGCTCGCCTTGAGCTGACAGTGTCCAGGCCCAGAGTTCAAGCCCCATGACCTACAAAAAAAAAAAAAAGAATTCTATCCCTTTCTCTTGACTGCACACTACTGCTTCTAGCCAGTAAAGTGGCAATACTGGTGAGTGGCTTTGGAGACTTCAAACATAAAAATATCCCATAGTTTCTATCTTGGTCACTGTCTCTTGGATTTCTTGCTCTTAGGCAAGCCAGCTGTCAAGTCCTAAAACGAGGACCAAATGACAAGGAAATAAAGCCTCCAGTCAACAGCTGCGGGAGTGAGACTTCAGTGAAACCACACCTTATTGGAAACCTAGCCTCCAGTCCCAGTGTCCCTACTAGATAGCTACAGTCCCAGATGACATCCTGATGTAGAACCTCAGAAGAAACCCTAAACCACAGCCACCCGGCTAAGCTGATTCCTGCTTCTGACCCAAGGAATTGGAAATTTTACATTTACATACAATTGTGTATTGCAAAATCTCATTAACCCTCAATTCTAATATTAGAAGAGTTTGTTCTTCTGGATATATTTCATATGAGAACTTTCTATTGCTTGCTTCCCTCATTCCCTCCCTTCTCCCTTCCCCTTCTTTTTCTTTTTTGAGGTATGGTGGTTTGAACTCAGGGCCTTGCAGTTACTATTTAGGCTCTGTACTTTAACCCAGGCTCTCATTCCTTTTCACTTTTTAGGTTATTTTCAGATAAGGTCTAGCATTTTTCCCCAGGCTGACCTCAGCTGGCAACGGCTCCTACCTATGCCTCCCATGTATCTGAGATTATAGGCATGCACCATGACAGCCAGATTGGGTATTTTTGAAATGGAATCCTACTTTTTGCCTGAATTGGTCTCAAACTTCAAGCCTGATCTCTGCTTCCTGAGTGGGTGAGAACGCAAGTATGAGCCACCAAATCAGTTAACAAATAATGGTAACTGAAGTTCTGGATACCCACTGAAGCAACTATTTCTTAAAGAACACCCATATATTTAGCCAAAATCCTAGGTATATTTATTTCCTACATCCATGCTAAATTTAAGAAGGAACTCCTCTCTTCCCACCATCTCCCCCCCCCCAGGAAAAAAAAAAGAAACTAGTTCACTTCTATTCCTGTTGCCATTTTTTCTCTTTTCTGTACCTGAATTCAGATTTCAAGGCTTAGAGAGCACTTGTTTGCTGTTCTGCCTTCCTGTTTTTTTGAAATGTTCCTCAAAGGCCAAGAGGCTTGAAAGCTTACAGCCAAGTACAGGACAGTGTCAGGCCCTGACACTTAACTACACAATGTTTACACTAACTTGATCAAACTTCATTATTTCCAAAAATGGTTTGAAACATTCCTCTGAAAATTACTCTGGAAAAAGGAAAATAAAAGTTTCTTTTTCCTCAATGGCACAGAGAAATCCATTTTGATACTCTATATCTCTTACTACATCAACATACTTTAAAAAACTTGGTTAAGGGTCAATATTTATTCCAATTCTGCTTCAGCCTATTGCACTGAAAAGTTAGGGCTTTTCCATGATAAATTTGTAATCTAAAATATCTGCCGCTATTGACAGTTTTTTAAAGTTCCTAGTTAGAACTGCTGCTAATACCTAATCAGTAAATTCATCTGAAATTCCCATCCATAGGCTGACATCACCCAATCTGCCTTGTGTCAGAAGAACTGACACAGACACTAAAGTTCACACATGTAAGACACTAAATTTGTGATATGTTAGAAATGAGGTATCTAAGATCATCAGAAACTTGAGAAAGTAAAAGTTAAGTATATCTTACTTGATCATATCTATTTTTAGGTGTTTTTTTCCTCTAATTCTAAGTTGTATCAATAAGATGAGGAATTATAAGTAGGTAGCTGGAGTGACCTAAAGCATAGGAGAGAGACGGTAAAGGACAAATAGTTTTCTCTTCCCACTTGCCATTGTTTTTTCCATATCTCTTCTGACACATAAAAGCTGGGTCAGTCTCTAGTTATCCCACCTTGAAAGCCCCTAATGTTGTTCTTAGAAATTAAGTCAGATTGCACTTGATTAGTCCTTAAATGGTAAAGCAGGAGGCAGAACTAATCATCTTTATGCAGAATTTCTAAAATGAGATAATATTGGCCAAATATCTGAAAAAGCCGAAATCTAGCTGGTCACCAGTAACTCATTCCTATAATCTTAGCTACTCAGATGTCTGAGAGCTTTGGATTAAGGTTCAAAGTTAGCCTGGGCAGAAACGTCTGTGAAACTCTTATCTACAATTAACCACCAAAAAGCTAGAAGTGGAGCTCAAGTGGTAGAGCACTAGCATAGACACTCAGGGACAGCATTGAGGCCCTAGTTGAAGCACCAGGATGGACACACACACACACACACACACAGCTGAAGTCTTTGACCTTTTCATCATTGCTATTCTAAATATTTGTTGAGTACCATCTATGTAATAGATGCTGAGGAATCTAAAAATAAATAATGGTAAATAAAACAGATTAAGTCCTTGAATTTATGGAGCTAATTTGAAAAGATAGATAATAATATATATCTCTCAGATTAGTAAAGGAAAATGAAAAATGAAATTGTTCAGCAGCCATAAGTGGGTGATTGAAGTTAGAGTGTGGGAGATGTTAGTATTTATACAGCATGAACAGGCCTCACTGGCAACATTTGAAATGAAACCTAAAGGAAATGAAGAACTATCCCTGGGAATATTGGATATTTCCAAAAGCAAATATAAAGACTTTGAAATAGGAACTATTAGAACCTGTTATGAACAACAAACACGTAAACAAAATAGAAATTTGGAAACTCAGTAAGGAAAGATACGTAATTTTTTGGGGGGGAGGGGTCTGGTCATGGGGCCTGAACTCTGGGCCTGGGCACTGTCCCTCAGCTCTTCAGCTCAAGGCTAGCACTCTACCCCTTGAGCCACAGTGCCACTTCCGGCTTTTTTCTGCTTATGTGGTGCTGCAGAATAGAACCCAGGGCCTCATGCATGCAAGGCAAGCGCTCTACCACTGAGTCACCTTCCCAGTCCCGATGTATGTAATTTTACAATTCTTATCAAGAACAAATGTGATTTGCTCTTTTTTGATGTCCAGTCTTAATCTTAGTTTTATTAAAAAAAATTTCAAGTTCCAAATTTATCTGCTTCTTCTCTCCAGATTTAAACATTTCTCATGGAATATGTTTTGTTTACCTAAAGATGATTCATACAATCAAAAGTGTTTAGTCCAAAGTTCAGTGAGGTCGTACATAACCTGTAATCCCCGCATGAAGGAGGCTGAGGCAGGAGGATTTGAGTTTTAAGGGACAGCCTAGGATACTCAGTAAGACTCTGCCTCAAAAAACAATGTATTAGGCTATTAATTTGGTTATGAGAACTATTCTTTTAATAGCACAAAGAGGAGCCACAATAGCTTTAGTTAAGAGGGAAAGGTAGAATTTTTTTTACTTCCTTTTTTTTATTGTGAAAATACTGTACAGAGAGGTTACAATAACATGGGCAAGATAATGAGTACATTTCTTATCAAGCATTGTTGCCTCCTCCTAATAGTGATCATCACTTTATTAGAGTGGGATCCTACAATAAGGGATTTTTAGGCACTTGGGGAAGCAAGAAGACATCTGGGGGGGAGGGGTGTTTCATCTGGGTGGAGATAACAATTTCTTTGAACAGATAGTGGTCATAACTAGAAGTCCTTTTGTCTTGTCGCACTCACCTCACCTCCACCTCCCTTTTGATTGTTGTAATTGGGGAGAGCATCTGGCATCTGATGGGCAGAAGCTGAGTACATTGACAAAAGTCCTACAGTGGACAGGACAGTCCCCAGAACAAGAAATTCTCAGCCTGACTGACAGTAGTCCCGAGGCTGAGGAATTGAGCTACAAGGAGAAACTTTTTATTGAGGAGCTGGAGGAAGCGTCTTTACTTATCACTTTGAAGAACTTTGAAAAGAAAATAAGTTACACACTAACCTTTAGTTGCTTTGGGTGTATAGCTAATAAGTTTCTAGGAATTCTGGAGACTACTTGCAGCGCACACATTTTCAAGACATCTTTGTGGAGGAATGTGGGCCAAGGCAGTTCAGTTAAAGTAGCTTTGGAACTGGTACTCAGTGTTCACTGAGGAATGTTTGATAGCAGGAGGATTAAAGGCCCGAGTTGGCAGGCAGCTGAGTCATGTCCTGGATTCTTTTATTTAAACACAAACAACCTGAATAAAGACGGAGAGAATGCTGCTCAGATTTTGAGGTGATAACCCAGGAAGAGGAGGTTATCGCCTAAAATCTTGACCATTTGGGATGATGGTTTGCTTAGTTCAGAGCAACCCAGTTCCATGGAACGCGGGGATGTCCAAAAGGAGAGTAAGAAAAAGAATGTGTTTTGTTTTCTTTAAAGAAAGGAGAGGAAGGGACCGACCTGGGGGGGGATAAGGAAAATGATGAGTTGAAAAGAAAAACGAAAACAAAAACCCATCACCACAGAGGAAGTGAACTAGGAAAGAGGGGATGGCCTGGCCTGTGAGAAGGCGCTGGGGAGGGCTGTCCGCGCATTGTACCCCTCCGTGGGGAAATGCAAGCGCTGGATTCCAGCCCAGGTGAAAGGGGTTGATTAACCACTGCTCGAAGGCAGGGTGTCCCCGCAGGGTAAGGTCGCGCTATCCCAGCAGCCCTTCCGCAGGCTTTTTGTGAGACGTGTTAAGGGAAACGTGTTGACAGTTTCTCTGCTGGGAACGCGTTTCCACCGCACCGGCGGGCGGCCGGGCCAGCGCCTTTCGGAATCCGTCCCGCCTCCAGCCTCGCGCGGGCCCGCGCAACTTTGACTCCACACCGGAGGGTGTGAGGACACCAGCTGCGGCCCCGCGCGGCCCGTCTTTCTGGTTCTTGTTGTGTTGGCTTTTTCGTTTCTCCGAGCTGGGTTCCGGCAGGAGCTTCTCGGCGTCGTCTGTGGAGTCAGGGAATTCTGTAAACACAGAACACTCCACGCGTGTGCGTCACGGTGGCTGGGAAAAGCCAGGCGTCAAACTGTGCGACGGTGCCTGACTAGACGCGCCTCAAGGAGAAAAGACATTCCCTCAGGAGGTGACCGTCACCCTGAGGAAGATGGGGACTCCGAGGAAGCGGCCTCCCTCGCCAGACTCCGCCCCTGGGAAACGTCGCGCCCCCACACACGACGCTAGCGGCGCGGACTCGCACTCGCAAGCCGCTCCACAATTTGTGGGCGCGTCAGGTTCGCCTTTTATAGTCGGAGGCGCGTGAACGCGCGCGCTCGACTACTCGGAGGTACGGAGATGACCAATGAGCGGGCTCCTTCTCCACGCGGGCTTGCGATTGGGCGGACCGCACCAGGCTCTTTAGCCC